TTTTCAGTGTCAGAGTAGTTAATAAGTGGAATGCATAAGGCAGTGATGTGGTGGAGGCTGACTCCATACACAGTTTCAAATGTAGATATGATAGAGCCCAGTAGGCTCAGGAACCTGTACACCAGTTGATTGACAGTTGAGACCAAAGTGTCAGAACTCAACTCCCTCAAATACAATTAGGTGAGTTCACACACACCTTTTTTTTTAGGGGGGCCTCGTGGCTGAGTGGGCAGCGTTTGGGGGTCGTAGTCCTAAGGGGCCCGGGTTCGATTCCCGGCCGAGGCGGAAATAAATGGGCAGAGTTTCTTTCATCCTGATGTCCCTGGCTAGCCGGCGGGTTCACAGTAAACAGGTACCTGGGAGTTAGACAGCTGCTACGGGCTGCTTCCTGGGGATGTGTGTGTGCGTGTTAGAGAAAAATATATGTACTAGCCATAATAGAGGAAAAATAAATTGTTTAAAAAGGCGGGATCCAAGAGCTAACAGCTCGATTCTGCAGGCACAAATAGTAAATACAAATAGTAAATACACATGCTCTGACCTCTGCCCTTGGAACCCTTCTCTCTCCAAGCAGAACTCTGCTGCACCTGTCTTGTCCATCTCCCCCTCTCCCTCCTCTCTCCCCTCTCCCTCCTCTCTCCACTCTCTCCCCCTCTCCCTCCTCTCTCCCCTCTCTCTCTCCTCTCCCTCCCCTCTCTCTCCTCTCTCCCTCCTCTCTCTCTCTCCTCTCTTCCCCCTCTCCCTCCCTTCTCAACACCTCTCATCATTTACTCTCCACCAAAATACACGTAATTACTACCACCTAAATCCTCTTTCTTCCTCAGCCTCCAGACAAGATATACGTGAGGCTTCTCCAACACCCAGGCCAGCAGTGTAGCAGGCCCCGTGGCGCAGTGGTAAAGCCCTCGCCCGGCGCTTCGCGAGCGCTTTGGCCTGGGTTCGTATTCTGGCCAGGGAGGATTGACAGGGCGCCAATCCTTAACTGTTGCTTCTGTTCACCCATCAGTGAATGGGTACCTGGTTGTTAAACTATTTGGCGGGTCGTATTTCGGGGAAAAATTAGTATATATATATATATATATATATATATATATATATATATATATATATATATATATATATATATATATATATATATATATATATATATATAAATGTAAAAAAATTGAGGAATTCAGAGATAATTCTGTCAATGGTGTTAAAGAAATGTATAAGTAGTTCATTCATAATGATGTACTGCCGGGAATCTTAGCGAAGTATCCAAAGTTTGCTTACTGTAGGTGCAGCCTGCACATGACTGTAAAGCTGCCGCCCAGTTGGGTGGGTGTGGAGCACATGACTGTAAAGTTGCCGCCCAGTTGGGTGGGTGTGGAGCACATGACTGTAAAGTTGCCGCCCAGTTGGGTGGGTGTGGAGCACATGACTGTAAAGTTGCCGCCCAGTTGGGTGGGTGTGGAGCACATGACTGTAAAGCTGCCGCCCGGTTGGGTGAGTGTGGAGCACATGACTGTAAAGCTGCCGCCCAGTTGGGTGGGTGTGGAGCACATGACTGTAAAGCTGCCGTCCAGTTGGGTGGGTGTGGAGCACATGACTGTAAAGCTGCCGCCCAGTTGGGTGGGTGTGGAGCACATGACTGTAAAGCTGCCGTCCAGTTGGGTGGGTGTGGAGCACATGACTGTAAAGCTGCCGCCCAGTTGGGTGGGTGTGGAGCAAGACTAGTAACTGTGTGACTCACCATAGATGTAAAGTGCCTTGTATAGTGACTGTTGTGAGCCTCTTGTTGAATCACTTGTCATATAGAAGATTATTGATATCAAGATTGTTACTTAGCTAAATAAAGTGTTTGGGTGGGTGGGGAGGGTTCAGTTCCTGAACCCATTATGTTTCTCTGGAACCCCTTCCACCCCCCCCCCCCACCCCCCACGGGAAGGGTATGGGGTGCATAATAAACGACTAATCAATCGCCCTTATCAATCTAATGACCTTCACTGTCTTGACACCCCCCCCACAGCCCTCACCCCCACAACCCTAACCCACAGAACCCGACGCACCCTCAACCCAAACCCCCCCCCCCAACCCTGCCCCCCGGGCCCGGGGTCTCCCTGTAGGCCTCCAGCGCACATCGCTCTCTATTAAGGCAGCATCTGGGATGCTCTCGGACGCAGGTTCGAATCCTCGTCACGGCCCTTGTGGATTTGATCACAAGAAGATTAAGATCTATAATTCTATCCATGTCAACCAGCCAGAGGCGGCCCTCTTCGTCAAGGATGAGTCTTATAGGTTTCCTATTGTCTGGGTCACCTCTCCTCAGGGAGGAAAGACTTACTCCTCAAGGTAAGGAAGACTGCTACCTTTGTCTTGGTTCCCCCTTGGCCAATGACTGGCCTTCTTAAGGATGTAACACACACACACACACACACACACACACACACACACACACACACACACACACACACACACACACACACACACATACACACACACAGGAAATTAGGCAGGA